TGTTACCGATTTTGGGCTGCATGGTGACTCGAGGTCTGCCTGTACGGGGACGGTCATTTTGTTACACCTGTTTGGTTGTAACGAGCAAACACCAAGCCATGATATCGTAAAGGTCAATGACCATTCAGACGCCTGGCAACAGAAGATTGGTCGCAGAGTCAAAACGTGACGTAGTGATTTGACCTTGAAACTCCTTCAAAATGAATGCCGATTTCCGAAAATAATCTGGATTTTTTTGCCAGACAGCGCATGCTCTTTGCTGCACAATTTCAACTGGAAGGTGATTTCTGTTGCGTTGTGGCGATGCAAGAAATCTCATCAAAATCAACATTTTCAGGTAAAGTCGTTTTTGTACTTGTGCAATTGTGTAAAATCATGTTATCAACACTTTCGTTACATGTTTTGACGATTGTTTGAACACAATAGGTAATTAATAGATTTTAAATAATACAAATCGCCTAATGCGTTTCTTTTTGGGGATAGTATATTTTGAAATTCTAACTATGAACTAGTCCCTTTGCTTACGTGACCTCTACAATTCTATTTTCTAACTACGAACGAGTCCCTTCCGTTACGTGACCTCCGCAATTTTACTTTCACAACCTAATACTTACCAAAACAAATATGGACATGGATATTCAAATATTAGCAGCACGCTTTTATTAGAAATAATCTATCGCTCATTTCTTAAATAGCTCGAGAATTGCCATTAAGGTTCCATATTCATTACACTCGTGTATTCGTTATTGACAATGGACAGTACAAGATAATGCATTACAAGGTGAAATGGCACTGTGTTGAGAACAGCCAAGTTAACTGCAGTGAAGTAGGTAGCTACTCTCACTAATAGCTACTCCATTAGAAGAATCCAATATGTGATAGATCACGAAGGTTCAACTCGCTATCAGTGAAGTCAGGATGAACTTCGGTGTTGGAACACACCAGGCAGTTTTTACCTCGTATCAACGCTTGTCATTTTGGAGTCGTGATAGAGTGAAATATTTTACATTGCATCGGCAAACTTTCAGTCGTTAAAAGGCGTGATGATAGTATAGTTATTACAAAAATGCATTGTGATATTAATACAATACAAAGAATACACATTTCACAACTGTTCACAAAGAGTTAAAGGGACACTGATCCAGAGCAATTCACCGGGACTGGTTGTTACCTTTTTATTGTTTTTCCCCCGCAACTACCCGGATGAAATCCCATAATAATTCTTGACTGGGTTGCGATCTCTGCTGCGCCAACCGCAAGCGCAATTGGTAGTACAAGTATAATATGTATATCCTTACATTGATCAACAAAGATGTAATCTTTTTTCCTCATTAATATACTCTCCCAAAAAAGAAACGCATATAGGAATTTCAACTGTATTTTTATGTTTATTTTGAAACATCTTGTAGGCTTTATGAGTCAATGAAATATAGCGAAATTGCACACTGGGAATGCAGACTTATCCGTCTTTGGCACCAACTCGAGGAAAGTCAGTTTGAGTGTCACATGGAATCGTGTGGTGGCGCTAAGTCAATACCTCGTGTGACCACCGTGGGCATCCAGAACTGCACGGCATCGCCTCGGCATCGAACGAATAAGTCTCAGAATCTCGTGTTGTCCAATCGCAGCCCACTCTGCCTGTAGTGCCTGTGCAAGTTGCTGAAGTGTCTGGGGCTGAGGGTTACGGCGTCGAAACCGTCTGTCCAGGGCATCCCACAGATGTTCGATCGGGTTTAAGTCCGGTGATCTTGAGGGCCAGGGGAGCACATTGATGTTGTGGTTCTGGAGAAAGTCTCTAGTGTGGCGTGCTGTGTGGGGCCTGGCAATGTCCTGTTGAAACAACTCCATCTGGCGATCAATGATTGGAAGTCGGTGTGGGCGTAGGATTTCGTCACAGTACCGTTGAGCTGTCAGCTTGCCCTGGATCATCACCAAATCACTTCTCCTACAGCAGGTGATCGCTCCTCACATCATAACACTGTCCCGGCCGAATCTGTCCACCTGGGGAACGCAAGCGTCGGCGAAACGTTCACGTCGACGTCTGTACACCCGCATTCTTCCATCGCGTCGTTCCAATAGAAATCGTGATTCATCACTGAACCAGATTGTACGCCAATTCGGTAGGTTCCAGGCCTGAACGTTGGTGCACCATTGAACTCGATGTCGACGATGTTGATGTCGAAGCACAGGGCCAAAATAAGGTCTTCTGGCACGTAAACCAGCCTCTCTCAACCTGTTCCTGACGGTCTGTGCAGAAAGCCTCCTCAATCCGGGTATTTGTCGAGCGGTACTGGTCGCCGTAGCTGTTCGATGACGCAGGTGATGTACCAGAATGTAGCGTTCCTGCGCCGCAGTGGTCGCTCGAGGTCGCCCACTACGAAGGGCATCTGCTACCGCATTCTGCCGGCGATATCTCTTCCAGAGCCGTGAAATGGTGCTTTGGTGAACATTCATGCGTCGGGCAACTGCCAGCTTCAAGTAAACCAATGGCGATATGACGGTTGGCTCCACTTAGACGTGGCATTTTGCGTTCGTCAACAATATTCCAAATACAGTGAATAATCGACAGACAGCGATCAACCTTTTATACCCATCAGTGAGACTATCTGATCCCCAACTTTCACGTGCATAGCATGTGAATTGTGTAATCTGTGACACTACACACCGAAATTGAAAATCATGCTGGTATTTTACGGATGGTGCGTTTTGTTGTGATGTTTCATAAACAGAGCAAAACCTTTTGTAAAATGAATCACGTTTTAATTCATTGCTACATGAAATTGCTATTTTCATGATGCGTTTCTTTTTTGGGAGAGTATATTTCCATCTTCATTATTATGATAACAAATGAACACAATTTGAAGTTGAACTTCATGATGCAGTGATGTCATTCTTGTGGATGCATGTGGTGATCCCCTTCTACTAAGAACAAACTAATCTCCAGTCAATTGCTATTCTTCATCTTGTCATTAAAACGGTAATTAAGTGCAATATATAATCAGATATATTTTCACAGTGACGTCCGGATTAAAACGGCTACATAGTAATGTATTTAAGTAAAGTTCAAGGCGATACCTCAAGGTCAGGTGCCAAGACCATTAGGAGGTGATCATCCCTTAGCTTACTCCCCTACCCGAAACATACACAAATATTACACAAATATTAAACGATTGGCTCCTTAACGTGGATGTGGAACGACCTTGACTGGGAGACAACGGAGGGCGTGACCAGGCCTTGACCTCCTACCTTACACCCCTACCTCAAACATACACAAATACCGGTATATATTAAATGGCTGGCTCCTTAAAGTGCCAAGAGTGAGCAAGTATGGTTTTACACCGCTTTTAGCAATACATGTATTCCAGCAATATCACGGCAGGGGACACCAGAAATGGGCTTCACACATCGTTCCCAAGTGGGGATTCGAATCCGGGTCTTCGGTGTGACGAGCGAACGCTTTAACCACTAGGCGACCCCACCGCCCCTAAAGTCCCAAGATGTGGATATGACCCAGACTAGGTACCGGCACTGTTGTTGGTCCATTAATGAAAGCCTTCCCCGGAGACAAAGGGATTGAGACAGAAAGCAATCAAGTTGAATGATCACTGGTGTGTCGCAGGAGTACTGTAGCGACGGGAAATATAATACCAAAATGTTTTAGATTTGTTTGGATCTTTACAATGTCAACATAACTGTACTGTGAAGGTACACGCTACACAGTCAGGTCTATGTTTTTGCATAAACGGGACGAAAATAAAATTCAAATGGGAAAGGGAATTTCTGAAAAACAATACATTTCAACCATATGATAATAGAACAGGCCCGATGCCATTCACCTACACGGAAACATTTCTTCCAAGTCTATGAACACGGCACCACGCCATATAAATCCTCATAATTCGTGTTCGCTTGTTTCTACATTATTTAAAGCCGGAGGTAGTATCAGTCAACGGGATGGCGCTGATTGTAGTCTAAGCAAACTAGCGGTAGATATTATGAGAAGTGTGCGAAATAGTTTACAAATTTTGCTAGCCAGTCGGGCTTGCTATGCCTGAAAGTTACTAGCCCACAAAATAACTCACTAGCCCGAAATTTGAATGTAGAAAGGTTACACAAAGGTAAGCTGTTAATATGATGGACATTTTTATGAGGCCATAATCTTGCATGATTTAAAAGTGTATTATAACTTAACAGTCGGAGAGAGTGATATATTTAATTTACAAATTGACCCCGTGAAAAATCACTAGCAATAGCCAGCCGGGCCAGTCATGCAGCTGCAGTGTGGAGATTCACTGGCCCGACTGGATTTTTACCAACCACTGGCTAGCGGGCCAGTAGCTATTTCGCACACTGATTATGAGCATTGTCTCCAGGATACGATAACACGCCATCGAGCAATTCACCTTGCTGACCACCAGAGACAGTTTAGTCGCAGCTTACGACCAGCAACGCATTAGGCCAAGGTTTTCAACCTATGAACGTTTTGGTAAGGTTTGTAGTTTGTAGGTAAAATCAACATTTTTGCTTGACAGTTTACATTTATGTGATATTCCTGCAGGAAACGTAAGATACACTGGATTAAAGGACTTACTTGCAGCATCTTACCACGTGTTGCGTTCGGTCTTCAGCCTTTTAGTATGATTGATGACCATCTTTAAGGGTCCCGAAAACAGTTTTGACAGTGAGCGAGTATAGTTTTAATGCACGCCTAGTACCATCCCAGCAATATCATTGAAAACTACGAACATTACGTCGTCACGAGCGAACAGTTAACCACTAAACTACCTGCTACCCTTATCGCATGGGTGAACGAGTGAGTATGGTTTTACGCCGCCGTTTGCAATATTCCAGCAATATCATGGCGAGGGACACCAGAAATGTGCTTCACACACTGTACCCATGTGGAGAATCGAACCCGGGTCTTCAGCGTGACGAGCGAACACTTTAACCACTAGGCTACCCGCCGACCCACTTATCGCATGAGAAAAGAATCTACTTACTCGAAGTACTCCTGCGCCGGCGTGCGTGTTTCGGTGATGTTGATGGAGTTGTTGTAGCTGTGGTTTCTGATGTCGGTGAGAATACTGTACTCGGTGAACTCACTCGAGTTGGCCCACAGGGGGTCCGTGATATTTGACACACTTAGATTCCTCCTCTCACTACCGTCGTAACACGAAGGCGTGTTCCAATTGTTGTTGCAATGCACCCATGGTAGTTCCCAAGTAAATGAAGCAATGAAAAAGTGCAAACACCACGCTATGACTACATTGTAGTAAAAGTCTGTGTAGAAGGCAATCAGGACAACTGCCCAGCCTATACCTGTAACAGAGAAAAAATGGGTTAATACCGTGGACAGATTGTACACCTGGAAAATTAGATCCAAGTTAAGATCCAAAGTGAAGATCCATCCCTTAGTTTCAGAGAATATACTTACTGCTTCATCACCTAATGAATAAGACATGGGCGGATCCACGGGGGTTGGGGTGGGGTGGGGTGGGAGTGTTTCATGGGGTCGATCCCCCTCTTGAAAATGACTTAAGACAGCTTTGAAGAATTTTTTTGCGTTGTCGGAGTCATGGGGTTGAACACGCCCAACGCCCCTTTTCTGAAAATCCCTGAACCCTCCCATGTAAGAATATACTCCGAAACGTCCTGTTCCTCAATAAAGAATAGTCTTTAAAAAAGGCAACGTTGTTGGCACCTGAGTAAATTAAGACATTTAGTGAGAAGGACGTGAGACGTGAAGACGCCTCTCTATTCTTGAAAAACAGTCGGCCCGTCGCTAAATTCCAGGAAAAGCTAATGGGTGCGATTAAAATGGAACGGATTTTCCGATTCTGCAATTCGTAATTATGACTTGCATTCGGAAAACGTCGTAACACTCGGAAATCTTCGGATACTAGTATTTCCTTGTTTCATTTGTGCCAAACATTATTCACATTTTTTTTAATCATGATTAAAAGTTGTTATTAAAGCTTAATCAAGCATAGTGATTTTGTTGTGTTTTTGCTCTATAAATCGAGCAGTAACTCGATTATAAGGAGTTTTTTGTTTAAAAATACTTCTTGCAATATATTGCAATACATATCGCAATATATGCTTTTGCATTGCAATAAATCGAAATATGAATATTCTCTGCAATACCCGCCCCTAGTTTTAAATGCCCCAAACATAAGGGTGTCTTTTGGAAAAAAAAGTATACGCCCATGTGTGATGGTAGTTGAACATGAAAATAAGCAATATAAGTTGTGCGATGGGTTGGGTCTTGCATGTAGGTTTGCAGTGGCTAGTAAAAATCCAGTCGGGCCAGTAAATCTCAACAGTCACTGGCACGACTGGCTTGTGAATTTTCATGGGGTCATTTTGTAAATATATCACTCTCTCCGACCATGTCAAACTATAACACACTTCTAAATCACGCAAGATTATGGCCTGATACAAATTGTCATCATATTAGCAGCTTAATGATGAAACCCGTGTCTACGTTCAAATTTCGGACTAGTGAAATATTTTGTGGGCATGTAACTTTCAGGCATAGCTTTGGATACTATTTCACGCACTACCTGTAAGGCTTCGGTAACGTTAGTGTTTTAAGGATCAAATGCAATTTTCACATGTATTGTTTCTTTTCTTCGACAGTATATCTACATGATAACAAACAAGAAACGGCTATGCGATGGAGATTCATCCTAATGTGCTTCCGTAGTTGTTTTGTTGTCTCTCGGAGAGTGGTGTTAGGTCAAGTAAGGTTTCCATAACGTTAGGGTCAAATGCAATTTTCACATGTATAGTTTCTTTTCTTCGACAGTATATCTACATGATAACAAACAAGAAACGGCTATGCGGTGGAGATTCATCCTAATGTGCTTTCGTATTTGTTTTGTTGTCTGTCGGAGAGTGGTGTTAGGTCAAGTAAGGTTTCCATAACGTTAGGGTCAAATGCAATTTGCAATTGCATACTTTCTTTACTGTCTACATGTGACATTGATCCGATGCCCAAATTCCAACCGTCAATCAAAGCTAAGTTCTGTGTGTTGTGGCGGAGTGTAGGTGGAATGTTATACCCGAAAAATACCAAATAAACGTTTAATGCATTATGGGCGTAATGCGGACATACTTCCGGTACTGTCTAGATTAACAGGGTTTCACTATACAAGAGCACGGTAAAACGACACTTGGGAAATAATAAAATCGAGAAATGTGTTAACAGGATGGACATAACTGTCCGGTTTAATAGAGTTTAAATGATGCGCTAATAATTAATATTACACCGTTTTGGGTTGTATTTCAGTTGCTTCGATAGGTCATCTAGGAAAGGTCATAGGTCATGCAGGTCAGGTCATACGCGTGGAACGTGTTGATGAAACCGAGACGAGGGGAAGATGTTGACAGAGCAAGGGCCATAACTGGTGTGAATCTGAGATTTCAAACCAGCAATTGGCAAATTTTGTTACTGTATGAAATACACGAGCACAAGCATGGGGCTGACAAACCAATGATCAAAACCGGGCGCGAAATGGGATTCGAACCCAGAGTTATATCATCAAGGCACACACCGCTGCATAACCTTAGACAACCGGTACACCACCACCTACAGGAAAATGACGTCATTATACTTTGATAATGACATGATTAATATGTTTAAATATAAGTATTTGTGAAACATTTAATAAACGCATATTTATATTAAACTTGTACAACATTCACTCTACTTTCATATTAACCAACTAACTTAGAAACGTCAATTTTAAAGTTGAGAAACGAAATAGAAGTTCTGAATATAATTGAAAGATACACTGCATATTTTGGACGCCAAGTGTGTATGCTTTAAGGACAGTTTGACATGCCACAATTTCATCCAGGGTGTTATGACTTAATATGCAAAGAGACGACTGCATAGTTGAAAAGTTTTATATCTGACATATTCCAACATAATCAATGGTTTGACCTAGGCTGTTTTTGTCTTGAGATGTAACAAATGTGAAGAGATGTTGAAGGTGAGAATTTGAATTATCGACTTTGCATTTAGTTATTGAACATGTACTCTAACACAATTGAGGCTTACAAAATACAACGCTTAGGGACTTCAGAATCTGAACTGGAGAATGCTGACCAGGAAAAGTTTCAGGCAAACTATCAAAATATAGATTTTCTTCCAGTGTGATTGTGCATGTGATTACCATATCAGTTATTTTGCTTGTATTACAATTAAACATATTTACAGACACACATAGAGTATAAACATAGAATCATTGATCGTGACATGAATTAAGATTATATATTTCATTTAACCTTACAAAAACAATTCTGGGGCGGTTGGGTAGCCTAGTGGTTAAAGCGTTGGCACGTCACGCAGAAGTCCCGGGTTCGATTCCCCACATGGGCACAATGTGTGGAGCCCATTTCTGGAATATTGCTAAAAGCGGCGTAAAACTTAACTCACTCACTTGAAACAATTTCGTAACGCAGAACTTTGCATATGCGAGAATAGCAGTATCATTTGCATTCAGCCAAGCTTGATGTTTTTATCACAAACTAGACCTATTTTTCATTAATTGAATGAACGTAAGGTTGTTTTAGATCAACTCAATCACAATCATTGAAAAGGGGCGATCTGCTGGCCAGGTGCAAGACAGCTAATTGTACAAGTTCTTTTCGTTGGGACCCAGTTTAAGATTGGTATCTTGTCGTTGAAAGTGTGAACACGGGCTCTCTTTATTGAAATGCATATCTTGAAGAATTCACAACCTTCGGGGTTAATTCCCCGGAAATCAACCTATCAAATTAACACGTCCCCAATTGAAATCTAAAACACTCCATTTTCGCATTCAGTTAAGCAATCGGCGGACTGTGTGTGCTCTCTCTAATGACGCTCCGCACCGTGTCAGTCCGCCATCGGAGCAAATACCACACCGGAAGTGACGTCAAAGTTCCATTAATATACCCGAACGATCGTTAACGGCCATTGTCAGTCGACGGCTGACTCGAATCATTACAATAAACCCTCCCTTAACGTCTGAATGTGGTGTTTATTCTAAGGGAGCTAACTCTAACGAGATCCAATTTCTTTTCGATTAGCACTTTATGGGTAAAAAGAAAGTTACGTAAAACTCATGGTCGTTAAAATAAGGTTTTTGCACGCTTTTCAGCTACAGTGTTCATTTCTTGATGGGAGTAATTCAAGTTTGCATCGATTCCAATACAGCCTTATCTTGATGTTTAGAAGCAGTCACATTGAGAAAAAATGGACTTATTCGTAAATTCTAATACACCAGAATTTACGTCAATTCCCCTTTTTTCTTGTGGGTATTATTTTTTCGGTATAGCTGAAGAAGTTCGACGTCCAAATACTTTGCCCAGTGTGTTCTATTGTGCCAAGAGAGCAAGAACCTGATTTGAAAACGCATTTTAAACTCACCTTTGAACGAACCTGATCACATCCATAAAACACTTAGATAAAGACAGTAACGTGCCTTAAGATTTATTGGATAAGAAATTGATAATGTTTACTTTCTGGGGCAATTTGTTTAGACCCAACATGCGTTCGTGTGATTTTCTAAGTAACAAATCGTGCAACAAAGTTGGCAATTCTGAGAACACCGATACCCCCAGAGGCGGGTACACCCACATAAATCACGAAGTCCAAAGGTTAGGGGGGAATACTCCTCAGGGAAAGTTTTCTGCTGGAAAAGGGGATACCTCTGGATCCGCCCCTGCCACCAACATTGACGCACAACGAACTAAAATGAACCACTAATTTCTGTTCTTATTAACAGTGGTTCTTTCTCTGCATTTCGACAAAAATATACAGCATCTGCCAGGACAATTCGTTATATCTGTCAGTTCACGTGTTCGTTACATATGTAGTTTATTGTACACGAACTCGAATTCCAACTGAGCTACTTATGTCATCAGTTTATGGTTCAAATAGCGGTTCGTCCCGTGACGATCCGGGTTAGGACTAATCTTCAGCAACCCATGCTTGTCGAAAGAGGCGACTAACGGGATCGGGTGGTCAGGCTCGCTGACTTAGGTGACACATGCCATCGTATCCCAATTGCGTAGATCGATACTCGTGCTCACTGGATTATCTGGTCCAGATTCGATTATTTACAGACCGTCGCCATATAGCTGGAATATTGCTGAGTGCGGCGTTAAACAACAAACCAACCAACGTTATATCTGTCAGTGGACGTGTTCCTTATAAATTTAAATGTCATTTATTGAGAATACTCTCTAGTTGAGCTACCTATGTCATCAGCTGACGGTTCAAATAGCGGTTCCAGGTGTGTCGGCACCATTTCCATGGGTATAACGCAGGACAAATTAGTGAAAATAAATAAAACATATTTGATACAACTGCAATGTATCTGTATGTCAATCTCTGTGTCAAATCTTTCACAATTATAGTCTTGACAGCAAGATGAAGTTTCGGTACTTTTAACACATGTCCCAAAAATTCGTCGTCGCTATTGTGTACAGGCTCATGAATCGGCGCTGAGAGCTTTAAACACGGAAAAAGCGGAACGCTGGATAAACACAGGCCTGTGGGCAGAGGTACTTCCTGTCTTTGAAATTCTTCCAATTAAATGCATCATGTTTTTTTATTTCTCAAATGTGAGGATGTACATGTATATTCAGGGGAGAATAGATGGATACACATGTACATATATGTTTTAGCCGAACGAGAAGAACGATCTGGAAACGCAAACAGAATACTAATGGTAGAATATACTGTTGACGTCACGTCAACATAACGACGTTCTAATTCTAATGGCGTAAGTATTGACGTTATATACATTTACAGCGACATGAAGAACATACGAAATCCCACTTGATAATATAAAATTACGCCTTAATATTACCTTTAAACAGTGGACAGATCCTCCCCCAGCACGTGATGGCTCCTGTCCGGTTGAACTGACCCAGGGCCAGCTCCATGTAGAACAAAGGTATCCCTCCAAGTATCAACATAAGAAGGTAGGGTATTAAGAAGGCTCCTGAAAATAAGACGTTGACTTGAATGAAATACATAATCAATATAAATAAATAGATGAAAGATAGAAAGAAACAATGAATGGATGGATGGGTGGATGGAATGAATGAATGAAGGTGGGTGGATGGCTGACTGGCTGATTGCAGGTGGGTGGAATGAATGAAGCTGGATGGATGAATGAATGAATGGATGAATGAATGAATGGATGAATGAATGAAGGTTGGTTGATGGATGGATAAATGAAGGTGGGTTGAATGAAGCTGGCTGGAAAGAATGAATGAAGATGAGTGGAATGAATGAATGAATGAGGCTACATGGATGACTGAATGGATGGATGGGTGGATAAATGAATGAATGAATGGATGAATGAATGAAGGTTGGTTGATGGATGGATGCATGAAGGTGGGTGGAATGAAGCTGGCTGGAAAGAATGAATGAAGGTGAGTGGAATGAATGAATGAGGCTACATGGATGACTGAATGGATGGATGGGTGGATGAATGGTAGGATGGGTTCTGGATGAATCAATACTTTGAGAACGACCTACGATCTACGAGAAATAGTAAAGTATTCGTCCCCGTCAGGACTAGATAAGCAAGATGATATTACAAGGTTTGACATTCACAGATTTTGTATTTACATTTGAGATGATATAATAAGTATTGCTGAATCATGAACTGTCGGACAAAATGAAGTATACAACCATGACTGATGGTGGCTTGGCTTGAAATAGACCACAAACGGTTTGCCGATTGTGATATATATATATAGACTAATATTGTATAAGGTATCAAAGTATCTACGTTACTGCAGGTTAACCTAGGAACGTTTTGATAACCTTTGTAACGTTTTGGTCAAATATATTTTTCATTTGTATACTTTCCCTTCTCCACCAGTTCATTACTTAATAGTGTTGATTTTAAATGAAGTTCGATATGGTAGATTCATCAATGGGCAAGGAATTCACATAATAAATTTTACATGTAAGGGCTTATCTCCCTTAGGTAAGTTAAAGGGTTATCTCCCTTACCTCCGCCATTTTTGTAACACAGATACGGGAATCTCCAGACATTAGCGAGGTCGACGGCGAAGCCCACCACAGATAACAAGAAGTCAATTTTTTTGGACCACGTTTGCCTCTCCTCGTCTTCCACGTCAACCTCCCCCTTCACCGGCACTCCTTGCGGCTGCATCATGTACGTGTTCTCTGTCGTCGTGCAGTTCTCCAGGTTCTTACCTGCATGTACAAAACGGAACACAATGTCAGGGTTTAACGTCAAAGATTTTTTCTGTTGTTTAACGCTGCACGCAGCAATATTCAGGCAAACAAATCTTTCAAACTTTCCCACTAGACCACATGACCAGTGAGTGGACAATAATTAGTGGTCCTGTCTGTACTTCACTGGTCCAAAATAACATTCGTAGATTTACTTAACTATCAATACAATATTCACTGGCCACCAGGACCACTGCAAACATATCATTTAGTGGTCCTGATAAAGTTTTACCAGCCAGGGACCACAGGAGCAGCGTAACTTGCGCACACTGAATTACATTCCAGCTGTAAATCTGTAAATATACGAGTCTGAATCAGACAATCCAGTGATCAATAGCATGGGCATCGATCTACACAGCTGAGATACGATGACATGTGTCAACCAAGCCAGCGAGCCTGACCACCCTATCCTGTTAGTCGCCTCTTACGACAAGCATGGTTGCTGAAGATCAATTCTAACCCCGGACCTCAACGAGTCTATTTCTGTCAGACGACGGCTTAGTTTCTGAATATGCGCAACTTTGATAGAAACTACTCCACTGAAATTGAAAAGGGGCCCAAAGTCAGTGTATGAAATAAGGCCCGTCCGACCGCCCGAGACGGGCTAGATTTCTGCCGGACGGTCTAATTTTACAGCTAACCAGCCCGATGGACGACGGGTGACAAAAATATTCAGATAACGTGTCCACTGGCACTGTCTATTTAGTATTTAAGAAGGACCGGTTAAATCTCTTCTGGGCTGGTAAGTTTTTTAAGTTACCAGCCCAGATGTCAGGCCGGGTTTCTGGCTTATTTCATACACTGCCAAAAGAGATCGGGCACTTGTAGAACATTGTAGACTTGCTGAAACCAAACTCATAAATTGCATTACAGTACGGGCTGGAGGGATGTGAAAATAACAGGGTTTAAGGATTATGAGACTCGGTAATTATACATTTTCTTTGCACTCAAAGGAGACAAACGAGGTATATGTTTTACAACACACATTTTCTTAAAGAAACTGGGATAATCCAAAGGATAAAGCAATTGCTAGTCACACCGAAGTTCCGGGTTCGATTCCACACATGGGTACGATGTGTAAAGCCTATTTCTGCTGTCCGTGATACAGCTGGAATATTGCTAAAAGCGGCACAAAACCATACTCGCTCACTTACTCTTAACCGATCGAGGTTCTTAAGCACTGATATTGGGAATGCGTTGACATGTAGGCTACCCTACTCCTTTCGTAGTTTTGTAGGATGTCAGCGAGATCTATTTCATGGAGTAATTCTTTTAGTAAAACACGAGTAAAGTTCAGACAAATAATGACAAGTGAGAATCCGTCTTTTTAAGATATTGGCAGTTTTATTCACCATATGTTCGAAAAGCGCAAATCTTAAAAACTTTAATGGTCTTATTATGTGCAATGAAACTACATACAATGATCACACACTTGATCTAGTGTGTTACTGCGGCGCCAAGCAATATTCAACCAATTACTCCATTTGATATATAAAACAAAATGTATTAAAACCGACATAAAACCAAACAAATGACCAAAACCAGGATTTGAATTGACCTGACAGCTTCATTAAGGACACATTTCCCAGCGATGCATTATTGATCACTGGTCTGGACGGAGGCACGTGTTCATTAATTTGTTGTGCCGCCAGGAGCACAGAAAGTGATGACGTCACTGCACTTCCACCTGCGACGTGAGGTTTGACTTAAAGGCTCATCTTTTGTTTGGTGATTCCTTTTCACATTTTCACAACATCTGTTTTTGTATCAATACGTTTTTAGAATGTCCTTGTGTTTGCTCATGTACGCTGTATGAAAACATTTGATGTGGTTTAGCTTTACTACCAAGGTCTCGCATCACCAATATGACACTGATCACACGTTCAATAAATGTAAACATATCCTGTTAACTCAATACTAGTGATACAATAATGACATTTTATATTTCCAGTTCGATTTTTCACGGCGACACTGTATCAATCAACCAGTACTTCGACATAAGCGATTCAATTTATCAGACTGACTGACTGACTGAGTTTGGTTTTACGCCGCTTTTAGCAATATTCCAGCAACATCACGGCGGGGGACACCAGAAATGGGCTTCACACATTGTATCCATGTGGGGATTCGAACCCGGGTCTTCGGCGTGACGAGCCAACGCTTTAACCACTAGGCTACCCCACCGCCCCAATTTATCAGAGGTCAAATAATGATTAAAGGTAAAAGTTAAGGAATTCGACATACCGGACAATCAGTTCGAAGCAACCAATACTTCGAAACAAAATAATTCGACTAAACGATACAACTCTACCTACAAACCATATTATTAAATACCATACATTATGGCCAAAACAAAAGCAGAAGAAAAAGGTTCGCAAGTTAGACAACTCTGGAAACATATGTGCGTGTCTTGCCATAGCACAGCCGCCATACTTGTATCGATATGTCGAACCTATTAACATACATCCGGGTGAGAATAGTGGCCCGCAGCAACCTATACTTAAGGTAAGAAGCTACGAAATTGATCGGGTGGTCAGGTGAATTGGTTGGCTGTGTGTCATCGACACAGGTGAGTGGATTGATGCTGAAGACGTCAATCACTGGATTGTGTCTTCCAAATTTGATTGTAATAGACTGACGTCACAAAGCGTTAAGCTATAAATAAAATACAACACTTCCGTAGCGACAATCATGTTAAAATGAATGAACACTGTTAGGATAAAACTTTGGTGTTTCAAGCCCAACTATGAAATGTTTAAGCATTTCGAAATCGGAATTCAAATATCAAGTCTGAACCACACAATCTAGTGATTGATATTGATTGAAATGGTAAGAATGTGGTCTTGTGCATGCGCTTTTTGTTGTAAATGGGTTGCCTGCGCGCTGATTGTGCTGGTTGTACATGTAGAGTGAGTGAGTATGGTTTCACGGCGCTTTTAGCAATTTTCCAGCGATATCACGGAGGGGATACCAGAAATGGGCTTCACACATTGTACCCATGTGGGGACTCAACCCGGGTCTTCGGCGTGACGAGCGAACGCTTTAACAACTAGACTACCCCACCGCCCCGTGTACTTTAAGAACATGGTCATGTATGTGAAATATTAATCAGTAATATTGCCCTCAATTTACCGACAACACCCCAAGCAATAAGCCGAGTCCAGCAATTAACCCCGTTAATCCGGCTTGTACGGTCGTGGTTTAATCGTCCGGTGTAAGTAGTTTCCGGATTAACACACTACGGGAATAGTGAAATATCCATTTGTTAATATGGAAACGCTCCAAACAAAAGTCGTCTGAAGGGCAGCGCGTCAGGACCTTTAGTTCCATCTTATATTTGCTGGTGTATGTTTGCAAGCGGGAATGTATGAGCATGCATGTGCGCGCGCGTGCTTGTGTGTTGTATTTGACTTTCCTGGACATGACTGGACTATGTTACAGTTAGGAATAACAACGTAAAGGGTTTACACTGAGTCTGAACCGTACAGACCAGTGGTTGACATTATGAACAACGATCCATACTGCCGTGCATGATAACAACCACTCAACCGACAATAGAGTGACAGGTTCCCATGACCAGAATATTTTTCTTTGGACCATTTCTGAATTTCAGCTATTTCTGGTGTCCCCTGCCGCGACAGTGCTGATATTACTAACCGAGGCGTAAAACCACACTCATTCAGTTTCCACAGCTATTTCGGCTTTTTCATTAAATGGATTCTGTAGCTGAGCATAGTCAAGGCTTGGTATTATATATTTTGCACTGGTGTTATATATACTCTATGAAAAAGGGAACTTCATTTTAAATTTACGACTGAAAAAATTGGGAGATATATGGGAGTCAATGATGAATGTTTTGAGAGTACATCACCACTTGCACTTCCTTATGACCATAGTTGTTTGTACAGTAATCTCTCTTGAAAGATGATTAAATTTGCATGTATACGATTTTCATTTTCGAAAAAAACAAAAAAATCCAAAAAAACCCGGCAAGAAACAAACACTAACAACTGTGTGATGCAAATGTATGATATGGGCACGAATATACTATTCTCTTTATTACCGAAGTCGTCAAAATGAGGAAAATAAACCCAAATCCACTTTCAAACATTGACTGGCTACCCGCCATCGCCGCATGTAGAACGCAACGTCAGAGAAGAAACGTGACGTCATAGCATTGTTCATGACCTCATGTCACCATGACAAAGTTTTGCCCTAGGGCATCGTATGAAAAATATGAACCCCGATATGTTCGCCATCGTAGGTAATAAATCCAAATTGAAAGTTCAGGTTCCCCTACTATTTTGAAGTGTATATTTATAGCTGAAACTGATCTATGTCATTTATGGAAACGTTACCGATGCTGCTTTATATATCACTAATGTGAAACTGTAACTGTAACTGATCTATGTCATTTATAGAAACGTTACCGATGCTGCTTTATATATCACTAATGTGAAACTGTAACTGAAACTCATGTATAAAACAAACAGCGACAAAACTGTCAATGCTTAACAATCTTAAAAATATTTTGTAACCGTGCTCATCTGTGTTCATACAGCACAGACATGTGCCCATTATAACAACTCGCGATCCTGGTCCAAAGTATGGCCACTTCTTTGAATCAGAACAATGTACCTAGATAATTCTACTTGACGTATATATTTCTAAATATTAAAATGAATGGTGGATATGTGAGGGGAAAACTGATGTCATCACTTCTTTATAGTGATTCATAAACACATATTTATAAGTGGAAATCGTAGATTCGACTCTGCTCTTGGCACAGACTTCATGTGGATGGGGAAAAGGTTTTGTGGCTTTTATTTTAAACTTAATTTATTGTTATGATTACATAATGAAAACTAGTGTATTATTTATGTAGAAACGAGAGTATATCACCTATTTGGAGGGTTATAACTGAAACTGGTATTTAAAAAAGTAAATAAATAAATATATAA